GCATCGAGGCACCACTTCTCCGTCCATCCTGAGGCCGAGTCCCACATACAGCAACTAGAAGGATGTGCAGCTACGACACACAACTATCCACTGGGGCTTTGGGGGGAAAAATAAAATAAATAAAATCTTTAAAAAAAAAAAGACTTCTTTTAAAATCAAAGGTGGTACTGTGGAGTTGAAAGCTTAAATACAGGGTCTGTCACTTGATGAGCTGTGAGACCTCAGGCAAATTATCTAACTTGTTTCCCTTTTTTTTTTTTAAGAAGTGACTTCTATTTATTTATTTATTTATTTCCCCCAAAGCCCTAGTAGATAGTTGTATGTCACAGTTGCACATCCTTCTAGTTGCTGTATGTGGGACGCAGCCTCAGCATGGCCAGAGAAGCGGTGCGTTGGTGAGCGCCCAGGATCTGAGCCCAGGCCGCCAGAGACAGAGCGCGCGCACTTAACCGCTAAGCCACGGGCCGGCCCATAACTTGTTTCCTAATCCGTTCCAAGAGACTTAATGACCACCTTAGGGTTAATCCTGAGAATTAAATGAAATAGAAGTCCCAGTCCCTGCCACACAAGAAATACCCAATAAAACTTGGTTTCCCATTACTATCTATCAAACAAAAAACTCACACTGCAAAACTAACGAACGAAACGCTGCGTCATAACGTGAATGCACACCAAGTTCCCGGGCCTGCCTTCTGAACCTCAAAGTGCGCAACCCTTGGAACCTAAACGAAAAGGAATGACTCAAATGTAAAAAGGAAGTTGCGGGGCCTGCATAGCTGCCGAGCCATGCTGCGCGCAGAGTTGCCTGGTTACCCTCCTGGGAACTCGAAGAAGTCTGCTCAGCCTGCGGACCCAGGCCCGCCGGCTCTCCCCACACGCGGGGGCCATCCCCAGCAAAGGACCTCCACCCGCGACTCTGCCCGTCTTGAAGCAGCTGCGCAGTGGAGTCAAATGTCCCTTTGCCGCCGCCGTAGGCCGCGACGCCCATCAGTGCGTTCCTATTGGCTGGCCAGGCTTGGCGCCAAAGCGCGGAGGGGAGGTGAGGATCAGGAGCTGTGGGACCGGGAAAGATAGGAGCCGAGAGCGGCGGCAGAGAGCCCGGGGACCGTTTGTCGTGAGAGTGGGCGGCTCACAAGGCCGCGGGACCGGGGCGCGTCTGCCATGTTCTGCGAAAAGGCCATGGAGCTGGTCCGCGAGCTGCATCGCACACCCGAAGGGCAGCTGCCCGCCTTCAACGTGAGGGGGGCAGGGGCAGACAAAGATGGGCGTGCTGGCTGGCGGGGCCTGGAAGCCCCGGGGGCGGGACCGGGGGGCGGGGCGGCTTCCCGCGGTTCTTCCTTGCGCCTTACCCGGAGGGTTTAGTTTCTCGTGGTGTAAGCTCAAAAGTCGGGGACAGAAGTTTTGGAACGTGGCAAGACAAAGTATAGGAGGAAAAAGAAAGCACTAATGTTTATGTCACCCGGCGATATTGTGAATTTCCTCCTATGTCTCCTTTAGTGTTCTCCGGTGTGCAGCTCTGCTGCTGTTCCTTTGTTGCACCAAGCATTGATTAGTCGTTGCCTGTGCTCTAGCATTTGTCGTGCACTCGGGCAGCAAAGGGTGGTGATTGAAAGCTAGGCCTGTGGAGCCAGGCTGGGATTCTGGCTCCATCGTGTGGCTTTGGGCGAGTTACTCAAGCTTTGTGTGCTGTTTTCGTCTCTGCAGAAATGGGGCCCATGGGAATAGTACCCAACTCCTGGTGTGCTGAGGGCTGATGAGTTGGTGTATGTCAGGCTTTCTGAACAACGCTTGACACCCAGGAAGGGCTAAGTCAGTGCTTGCTATTAATTTTCTTTCTGCCACTGCTGCTGCTACTACTACTGCTCTTATGATTATTCTTATTTCCCTGTTACTGCTACCCCAGTCAGGGTGCTGAGCGCTTGACCTACGTTATCTCTCTTTTTTTCTTTTTTTTAATTGAAGTAACATTGATTTATAACATTATGTAAGTTTCAGGTGCACCTCGTTATATTTCCATTTCTGTATGGAGTACATCATGGTCACCACCCAAAGACTAATTATCATACATCACTGTAACCTATATTATCTCTTGTTCTCATGGTAACCCTTTGAAGTCTAAACCATCTTTTATTTTCCATTTTTTTCCAGCTATCTGTTGGAAGCTTGGGGAGATTAAGTGACACAGCCAGTAAGAAGTAAAGCTCAGATTTAAACCCTGGCAGTTTGGCTCCAGAGCCTGAACTCTAGGTTCTATACTTGACTACGTCCCCCATCATAGGGCAGCCACAGTGTGGATGCCAGGGCACATTCTGCCGGGAGTGGGGCACGAAAACAGGTAATAGAATGTAATGTGATAGGTGATGCCGAAGAGGTGTAGAAAAGGAGCACAAAGGAGAAATGCCAGTGTGAGCTAGGGTACAGGAGGGGGCGTTTGAGCCATGCCTAGAAGGATGAGGTCACCACTCTGAGAAGGGAGTGAGGCGTCCCAGCCAAGTGCAGAGACGGGGAATCACATAGCAAAGGGTGACTGAAAGACAGGGTGTGTGCAGGGACTACAGAGGTGGGTTCCAGGCCTGGGAGAGTTTGGTATTCACTCATAAGGCATTTGGAAGCTGGCAGAGGATTTTAGACAGGGGAGTGAGAGGGTAATTTTTTTTGTTTTGAGGATAACTATAGCAGCAGCAATATGGGGAATGGATTGGAGAGAAGAAAGAATGGAGGCAGGGAGATCGTGAGTGGGTGGTTAAAATAGACCAGATGATAGATGTGTATGGTCCAAACTGTGTCTGGTCAGTGGGCCCTGAAATCGGTGTCTGGCCTGTATAGGCTTGAGACAAACAAGACTTCTAACTATTAGAACAGGAGTGGAGATGGGGTGAGTAATCAGTGAGGAGGAGGAATCGGGATTTTGGGAGGCTTCTCTCTCAGGTAGCTGAGTAAACCACATTGGAGTTGAGGAGGAAGAGTGTTTGGGGGAGGGTGAGTTTTGTTTTGAACATTAAAGGGCACCTAGTCTGACAATTAGGTCATTTTACAGATGAGAAAACTGAGCCAACAGAAATTATGGATCAAGTTAAGGTACTTGTCTGAACTTGCAGCATATTGGAGGAAGAGCCTCAACTTGAACACAGGTTTCCTAGATTCTAGTCTGTTGTTCTTTCAACTTCAGGACAGTTACCTCATTTAAAAAGTCAGGAGACAACAGTGGGAGTTTAGTAGAGATGCTGGAATGCAGAGGTATGTAGGCTGTAAAATATGGCTCCACGCTGGGGTCCGGACAACTAGGCACTTTGGAGTTCATGGTGCACATGAGGAAACAAGCCCAGAGAGGCAGAGACTTCTCCAACAGGTGCTGGCTGAGGTGGCCTTGGAACCGGCTCTTAAGACTCTTAGTCCAGCTGGCCTTCTCACTCAAATTTTAAGATAAGTGTTGGTTTACCGCTTTTGGGGAGCCAGGGATGGAACTTAGAAGTTGTAAAATCACTCCTTTTTCTAGATCTTAGTGTGGTGGGGCACCTTTTGTTGCATTCACCTTGCACTGATAAACCCACCTGCCAGTAGGTGATGCAGCAGGCCTGCAGGGTCTGGCCCCTCTGCGACACAGCTGAGCAGGGGCAGAGAGAGAACTGATTTGATTGATCTGAAGGCTAATAGGCCCAGGACACACACAGGCTCTCAAGAATCATTCCTCCCAGGGGGATGATAGTCAGTGGGTTTTGAGCAGAGACTCTGGTTCATTCCAGAATCCCTCATGGCTAGATGCTGTGTTCAGCAAACTGAAATGATTATCCACTTACTATATGCAGAACTGGTAATAGTTTAAGTGAGTTTTTAGGAGAATTATCTTGGGCTCCCAGAGGCTCAGAGCTGGAGGTAGGGGCACAAAATGGATGCAATTCCTACTATAGGTTAAAAAAAAAAGTCTAAATCTGAAAGTTTGTGTATATTTTTGCAAAATTATTTCACACTTGTCCTTTGTATACCTGCAGATTTATTAATTGTACAACAGTTTCAACTATTCCTTAAAATAATATTTGTTCATAAAAGGAATATTTAACTGAATTCTAATAAATCAGACTTTTCCATGATCTCTTTTTAACCAGCTGATGAAAGTGAAGGTAGAAGTCATGCTTACATTTTTCATCAGGAATTATATCTTTTCTTATATTTGAGCAGGTTTAAGTAGTTGATTTTGTAATTGGACCAGTAGTGCCAAAGCATTTTTGCTAATGCATATATTTTGACCCTAAAACTAGAATAGGAAAAGTCGATGGGTCGCTTGGCTTTGGATTGTTGACAAACCTATCGTGTAACATTTATGAATTTCAGAATTCTAATGTTTTTACCCTTCCAAGGGAAAATTTTTTGAAAATTTGTCCCAAGGTGAATAGTAGAAAAACTCTTTTGGCCTTTCTATTCTAGCAGTAAAAGCAAAGCACTGTTCCTTTTTTTTTTTATAATCTTTTAAGACTATTTTTCAGTAAATAATAAATTATTTACATACTTTTGTCATAGCTTAGTGCTTCTGTAGGACTATTGATTTTTTTGTCATCAGTTTTATTGAGGGATAATTTATATACAACAAAATACACATTTTAAAAGATTTCTGAGTGTTTTTATTTTATTTATTTTATTGTTAATATTTTTTTTTGCTGAGGAAGATTGGCGCTGAGCTAACATCTGTGCCCATCCTCCTCTATTTTGTACGTGGGACACCGCCACAGCATGGCTCGATGAGCGGTGTGTAGGATCCGAGCACATCCAGGATCTGAACCTGCGAACCCCCAGCCAGCAAAGTAGAGCGCACAAACTTCACCACTACACCACCAGACCAGCCCCAGATTTTTCAGTTTTGACAAATGTATACATCCTTATAACCAGCACCCCAATCAAGATTTCTGTCACCCCAAGGGTTCCTTTTTCTGCTTTGTAGCTCCCTCTGACCTGCAGCCTTAGGCAACCAGGGATTTACTTTCTATGAATACAGATTATATTTGTCTTTTTTACGTATTTTTGGATTTAGTGTGCCAAGAGTTGTGAACTTTCTGTCAAGGGCCAGATAGGATCATGCAGTGTGTACTCCTATGTGTCTGACTTCTTTTGCTCAGTATAGTGTATTCGAGATTATCCTAATCAGTATGTTGATTATGTATATTGTGTATGTTGTCAGTAATTCATTCCTTTTTATTGTTTTTTTTTCTATTTTTTATTGTAGTAAAATACATAACATAAAATTTGCCATTTTAACCATTTTTAAGTGTACACTTCAGTCACATTAATTACATTCACATTGTTATGTAACCATCACCTCTATTTCCAAAACTTTTTCATTACCCTAAACAGAAACTCTGTAAGCATTTATTTATTTATTTTAATTTTTTTTTTTTTTTTTTAATCCCCCAAAGCCCCAGTAGATGTCATAGATGCACATCCTTCTAGCTGCTGTACATGGGACATGGCCTCGGCATGGCCGGAGAAGCGGTGCATCGGTGCACGCCCGGGATCCGAACCCGGGATCCGAACCCGGGATGCCAGCAGCGGAGCGTGTGCACTTAACTGCTAAGCCACGGGGTCGGCCCACTCTGTAACCATTTAGCAGTAACTCCCCATTCCCCTCTTCCCCCAGCCCCTGGTAACCTCTAATCTACTTTCTGTCTCTATGAATTGGCCTATTCTAGATATTACAGATAAGTAGAATGATACAATATTTGTCCTTTGTGTCTGGCTTATTTCACTTAGCATAATGTTTTCAAGGTTCATCCATGTCGATGCATGTGTCATTACTTCATTCCTTTTTATGGCCAAATAATATTCCATTGAATGGATATACCAATATGGTTTATTGATTCATCAATTGATGGACATTTGGGTTGTTCTCACTTTTTGTTTATTACGAACAGTGCTGCTCTGAATATTTGTGTGCACGTTTTATTTTGTAATTTTATTGAGCTCATAATAGTTTATAACATTGTGAAATTTCAGTTGTACGTTATTATTTGTCAGGCACCATATATATGTGCTCCTTTACCCCTTATGCCCGTGCCCCAACACCCTTCCCGTCTGGTGTCCACCAATCTGTTCTCTGTACCTATGTGTGTGTTTGTTGTTGTTGGGTTTTCTTTTCCTATTTTCCACATGTGAGTGAAATCATACAGTATTTGTTTCTCCATCTGACTTATTTTGCTTAGCATAATACCCTTAAGGTCCATCTCTGTTGTCCCAAGTAGCAAGATTTCATCGTTTTTATGGCTGAGTAGTATCCCGTTGTATATATACATACCGCATCTTCTTTATCCATTTGTCTGTCACCGGGCACTTAGGTTGTTTCCAGGTCGTGGCTACCGTGAATAATGCTGCAATAAACGTAGGGGTGCATATATCTTTTCAAATTAGTGTTTTCATGTTCTTTGGATAAATACCCAAAAGTGGAACAGCTGGATCATATGGTAGTTCTATTTTTAATTTTGGGGGGAATCACTATACTGTTTTCCACAGTGGCTGCACCAGTTTACATTCCCACCAGCAGTGTATGAGGGTTCCCTTTTCTCCACATCCTCTCCAATACTTGTTATTTCTTGTCTTTTTAATAATAGCCATTTTCATGGACGTGAGGTGATATCTCCTTGTGGTTTCGATTTGCATTTCTGTAATAATTAGTGATATTGAACATCTTTTCATGTGCCTGTTGGCCATCTGTATGTCTTCTTTGGAAAAATGTGTGTTCAGATCCTCTGCCCTTTTTTTTCTTTTTTTTCTGGTGAGGAAGATTGGCCCTGAGCTAACATCCCTTGCCAATCTTCCTCTTTTTGCTGAGGAAAATAGCCCTGAGCCAACATCTGTGCCCATCTTCCTCTGTTTTGTATATGGTGCACCACCACCATATACATGGCTTGATGTATATGTACACCATACAAGCATGGCTTGATGAGTGCGTAGGTCTGTGCCCAGGATTCGAACCTGCGAACCCCGGGCCACGGAAGCAGAGCACGTGCACTGAACCGCTACGCCACCGGGCTGGCCCAATATGGTATTTCTATGTTTAACTTTTTGACGAACCATCAGACTGTTTTCCACAGACTGTACCATTTTACGTTCCTACTTGCAATGTATGAGGGTTCCAATTTCTCCCCATCCTCGCCAACGCTTATTATTGTAACCATTCTAGTAGGTGTTTTTGCTTTTTGATGAGATGTGTAAATCAAAGATAAGCATAGTATAGATAGAATATTGCTACAGACTTGGTGGAGGAATTCACGAATGTGTATCAATGTTACTTTATATTGTTCTAGGAGGATGGACTCAGGCAAGTTCTGGAGGAGATGAAAACTTTATATGAACAAAACCAGTCTGATGTGTAAGTTTTGATAAGATTGATGTTTTAAAACAATATAAGAAATAAGATATTGAAATCAGATAATCTTACATCAGTTTTTAGATGTGATTTTTTAAATTCTCTGTGAGCCTAATCATACTCTAGCTATACAAATCATCACAGGACTAGAGAGATTTGTGTTGATCACTGCTGTATCTTTGGGAATTCAAATAGTGCTTGGCATATGGTGGATGCTCAATAAATATTTGTTGTTTGACTGATATGACTTGAAAGAAATTAGGGTAGACCTAAAAGAGATTAGACACGAGCAAATAAAAACCCTAACAAAATGAAATGTAGTTTCCATTGCTTATTTTCATTGATAGATGCCTCAAGGTGTTAAAGGGAGAATGGGCAGTGTAAATTTAGCAGGAGCAGCAGTGGTTTCCTATAGCTGGAGTGGAGTTTGCTGAGAACCAGCGTTCCAAAAGCTGCAGCTTGGTAGGTGGGAGGGCTCTGGATTTACAGAATCTTTAGGGCTAAGGATGGTAGTTGGCACAGTGGAGAATTTGGGCTGTAGGACAGACTTCATAGGTTCCTATGATCTGTGAAGAGTAGGACCCAAAAGAGTACCAACTACTGGATGAAAGGTTAGGTCTTCAGATCTCAACCACCTCTTTTAAGTGGTGCTTAAGGATCAACATAGAAAACTCTTCACAGATAGAATGAGGAGCTGAACTGTAGCAGGTCTACAGTAAATGTAAAGTCCTGAACTCAAGTTCCCAGGCAATTCATTCATTCAACAAACATGTACTAAATGACTGTGTGCCGATAAGTGGCTCTGGTATTCCAAGTATAAGCCACATAGTCAAGATTTCTGCCCCTCTGGCCCTCACAGTCCAGTGTGGAAGACAGATGTGAAATACAGATGCACCAAACTGGGATAGAAGCTATGAAGGAAAGCAACAGAGTGCTAGGAGAGAGAAGAGTGAACTGAAGGTATAATTAGATTGAGGAAACAGGGAGGTTCTATCCAAGAAGAGACATTTCAGCTGAGTCCTGAAGGAGAAGCAGGTTTTCATGAGGCAGTAATTGTGGGCAGAGAGCCTTCTAGGCAGGGGTACAGCGTATGCATAGGCTGTGAGTCATGAAAGAGGGCAGCATGCTCAGGAGACTGAGCCTTAAAGAAGGCCAGCAGAGCCGAAGCTGAATGAGCAGGCAAAGGGTGATACCAGGTGAGACTTCTAAGCATATAGGGCAGGTGGTGGCACATTTGTGTTTTAAAAGATTACCCTGGTTGCTGAGTGGACCATGGATGGAGGGGCTGAGAGGAGAGGGAGGCATCCTGTTATCCAGGAGGTGACAGGAGAGGTGGCTCGGACTACGTAAAAAGTGAACAGGTTCAAGACGTATTTTGGAGGTGGCCTAACAGGCTTGGGTCCAGTAAGGAAATGATTTTCCTGTCTAATCTGTATTTGTACTATTTGCACATTCATCATCCAGAATTCTGTGCCCTGTTCTCCTAGTTTCTTTTTGGGGGAGACAGTCACTATTACCAGTTTCTGGTTAAAAATTATTTATCAAGAAATCTGTTTCTTTTTAATTACTCATGTGTAAATATGAATTATTTTTAATATTTTGTTATAATCCAGAGTACACTGTAAACATTGTGGAGAATAAATCTGATTTTCATAGAGTGGCAGAAGTGTGTAGAACCGGTCCAGAAGACGTGAGAGGACAGGACATGTGTTGTGCCTCTGTTTCAGGGCCTGTAGCAGGCACTGCATGAAGACATCCTTGTATTCATCTCGTTCCTTTTAAAACTCCAAAGTAGATTTTTATTCATTCTGTACATCTGGTTTTGTTTTGTTTTTCCCAATTTTATTCTTAATGTGGTAAAATACATATAACATAAAATTTGCCATCTTAACCATTTTTCAGTCTACAGTTGAGTAGTATTAAATGCATTCATAATGTTGTGCAATTATCACCACCATCTATCTTCATATCTCTTCCTCTTATAATACTGAGTCTAGACCTATTAAACAATTGTATATCTGGTTTTAAAATGTGATACTTGTCTAATATCTAAGAAGATGTACATTTTATAGGGTAAAACCAAAGTTTTCTCCCCCTTTGTGTGAAGAACACAGAGTACAGTCCATGCACATAGTTGAAGATCAACAAATATTTGTTGGATGAGTGAAGGACCATTTTGACTCCATTTTAACTCATTTTACTATAACAAGGATTTGGAAGTACCACCCAAAGAGGAGTACTGCACAGAACAGAAACATAGTGTAAGACCATAATCTTATGAACCATGATGTTAGGTTTGTATCTTAACCCTAGCATGATAAAGGAATTCTAGAAAGTGAGTAAACACGGTGTTTGTCTTTTGGAAATAATGGAGATTATCAGTGTGCAAAAATGCGAAGTATCAGATGGTTAAATGAAATGCTGATGGTATGATCTTAGGCAAATTATTTAGCTTTTGGCTTTTTTATCTTTTAACATAGTAATAAAAGCTCTGATGTGGAGGCAGGTACTATTTGCTTAGGTTAACTGCTAATCATAAATAGATTAAAACAAGCATGCAAGTCAGTTGTTGGCTTTGAAAATCTTACTTATACTGAAATATAGATATTTGTTCTTTTCCTCTTTAAATGTTCTTACCAGGAATGAAGCGAAGTCAGGTGGACGAGGTGCTTTGATATCAACCATCAAATTGCGACACTGTTGTTTGTTGAGAAATCGCCGCTGCGCTGCCGCGTACCTGTAAGCTCAGGCTCTGCTCAGGGTGGCAGGGGACAGTGGAGGGTTCTCTGTGCGGTTTCCTAATTAGCCACTGCAAATGAGTAACGGAATTGCTTAGATCTGCTTTTCCTTTAAAGGCATTCTAAATTCTTCTCTTTTTTCTATTTAAAATGTTTTTATTCTGAAAAATTTCAGTATTCATAAAACTAGGGAGAATAATATAACAAATCCCCACGGATATATAGGTTTAACAGTTTTTAACGTTTTGCCGTGTTTGCTTCATCTTGCTTTATTTGTCTCTGCTAAACTATTCTAGAGCATCATGGCATTTTACCGCTGAATACTTTAGTATGCCTCTCTAAGAAAAGTACCTTTTGGACCTTTTCTCACGTGACCTTGTACCATTCTCCCTAGAGAAGTGAAGAGGCCTTCCCAGCATCTTTCTGTTTCACATTCATGTTTTCCCCAAGATCTTCTTACAGTTCGTTTGTTTGCCTCAGGAGCCAAATAAAGTCCATATATTACATTGAGGTTGTTGTAAGTCTTGAGTCTCGCCTGATCAAAACAACTTCTGACATCCCTGTTGTTATGCCATCTGATACCTTCTTAATGTCCTAGGTATGACCGATTGCTTCGCATTAGAGCACTCAGGTGGGAATGTGGCAGTGTCTTGCCAAATGCTTTACGATTTCACATGTCTGCTGAAGAAGTAAGTTAGCACTTTGTTCAAGTTTATGAATTTGGAAAATATGGAGGTTCTGGCATTGTTCTGTAATAGTATTTATGGTATTTCGTTTTTTGTTTTTTACATCTGGTTTTCAGCAGTTTTTGCCTGTATTTATTTAGTATATACTGTGATGAGAATGGTAGGAGTAATTCTAAATGCAGTGCTATATGGAAAATTTTGTTATTACTTAACAAAATAAAGGGTCCCCTTATAAGTTACTTATTAGTGATCCATTAGTAGGATTAAAAAACTGGCCTTATTATTTGGGGGTTTTCCATAAAATGTGTGTGTGTGTGTGTGTATAATATTTTTAGTGTATTCACAGAGTTGTGCATCCATTACCAGCATCTTATTCCAGAACATTTTCATCACCCCCCAAATAAACCCTGTAACCATTACCAGTTACTCCATATTCTCTCCCCTCTTCCCAGCTCCTGGAAATCACTATTCTACTTCCTCCATAGATTTGCCTATTACGGCTTTTTCATATAAGTGAATCATGCAATATGTGGCCTTTTGTGTCTTGCACTTAGCATGTTTTCATGGCTTATCCATGTGGTAACATGTGTCAGAACTTCATTATGATTTATGGCTGAATAATATTCCATTGTACGGATGTACATATCTTAGCCATTCCTCAGTTGATGGACATTTGAGTGTTTTTCTAAGCAATGTTTTATAGTTTTCAGAAAAACTGTCAATGCAGAGTTTGAAGAGATTATAATTCTGAAACGGTGTGTTTTTCACGGTTCTGTTTCTGGTGGAATGTTCCTTAGGTCTGTGATTAAGTACGCTGGGATGTAAGTTCTGCACGAACAGAGGTTTTTGTTCACTTTGTTAAATGATCCATCCTAAGTACCCAGATCAATGCCTGGTTCATAGCAGGCAATCAGTAATATTCGTCGTTTAAATGAATTAATGGTCACAGTAATAATCCGTATGGGGATGTGTGCTACTTCTGAAAGGATGAATATACAATTTCTGCAAGTTTGTTTTCTTACAACTTTGTCAAATGACCATCTTTATATTTGCAGATGGAGTGGTTCAATCATTATAAAAAATCCCTTGCTACTTACATGAGGTCACTGGGAGGAGACGAAGGTTTGGACATTACACAGGATATGAAACCTCCGAAAAGCCTATATATAGAAGTAAGTATACTTTTTTAAAATGGATTTTTTTAATTTTTTTTTTTTTTTGTGAGGAAGATCGGCCCTGAGCTAACATCCGTGCCAATCCTCCTCTTTTTGCTGAGGAAGACCGTCCCTGAGCTAACATCCATCGCCAATCCTCCTCCTCTTTTTTTCCCCAAAGCCCCAGCAGATAGTCGTATGTCATAGCTGCACATCCTTCTAGTTGCTGTATGTGAGACGTGGCCTCAGCATGGCCCGAGAAGCGGTGTGTCGGTGCGCGCCCAGGATCTGAACCCGGGCCACCAGTAGCAGAGCACGGGCACTTAACCGCTAAGCCACGGGGCCGGCCCTAAAATGGATTTTTAACATGTAGGTTGTGCTGACTTTGGTCTAAGAAGAGGAGGGTATATGACTATATATTAGTTCATGTTAAAAATAAAAAGAGGGGCCGGCCCTGTGGTGCAGCGGTTAAATGTGCGTGCTCCACTGCTGGTGGCCTGGGTTCGGATCCCAGGCACGCGCTGACACACTGCTTGTCAGATCATGCTGTGGCGGCGTCCCACGTAAAATGGAGGAAGATCGGCATGGATGTTTGTTAGCTCACGGCCAGTCTTCCTCAGGAAAAAGAGGATGATTGGCATGGATGTTAGCTCAGGGCTGATCTTCCTCACAAATAAATAAATAAAAATAAATAAAAGGAAACATAAACCCAAAACAAAAATGTTACCTCTGGGAGAATGGTGGGAATAGAGTAAAACAGCTAAATCTTTTTAATGTGCCTGTTTTAACAGTTTTAACTTTGGAACCATGTAAATATTTTATATATTATTAAAACAAAATTAAATCAAAGTGGAAAAGCAACGCACAAATTTTGAAAGCAAAAAGAAACAAATGAGAGGGAAATGGGCACAGATGTTAGCCCAAGGCCAGTCTTCCTCAGCAAAAAGAGGAGGATTGGCAAAAGATGTTAGCTGAGGGCTGATCTTCCTCACCAAAAAAAAAAGTAATTTAAAAAAAATATAAACAAATGAACCTGTGTTTCAAGTTGGTGGATTAGTCAAACAGCAATTATTTTAAATTAGTTTAAAGCACATAAAGTGATTGTACATCCCTAGTGAGTATGTTCTAAGGATGAAAAGAATTACAAAGAAATCCTAACCTGTTTTTAGTAATTATATTATTAGTAATATTGTTACTGTTATTTTGTAACAATTTATACATTGATGGATAGAGCAAAAAAGTAATGGCACTAGGAACTAAGATATTCAAAATAAAAGAAAAGGATTCAAATATTAAAATGAAAAAGTTAAGTGAAAAAATCCTATATTTCCAAACTCGAGTTGGAAATATCAGCATGGACTCATGTTAAATCATCTCTTTTTCTAAAAAAGTATTTCTTAGCTCTGTCCGCTGAAAAAGCGTAGAAACAACAACCAACCCAGTAGCCATGAGCATCCAAATTCTGGAGTCTAAATGCCATTTTCCACTAAAGGAAATGAGGACTCCTTGGGAAAAAGAAAGGCTGATTCTAGGTGTTAGCCAGGTCTTAGATAACAAGTATGGAGGACAGCACAAGGAGTGCTGACAGGACTTGGGAACCGATTTGAAGGAGCTCTCAGTGGCCAAAGAAGGGGCAGTTGGAGCATCAAAATGATTAACTGCAGTGAACTGAATCACATCAATTACGTTAGAAGCATGAAGGCATAACGACACCAAACACCATCAGTAATAACAACAATTAAAAAAATAAAACCCCTTTAGGTCCCCTTGGAGAAGATGAGGGAGGCAGCTCATTTTGAGAAGTGGTAAATAAAAGAATGGAATCAAATATCCATCTGCCTTTGCTGTACAAAACTCTATCTCAGGGTAGCCAATTTGTTTACAAGGGAAATCTGTTTCTTATAGAAGAAGAATTCCAGCGAATAAAAGCAGCAGGATTAAAAGAACTAGATTAATGCCATTTTGTAGCCCTAATGCATGCAGGCAAATAGCTAATAAAACCAGTAGATGAAAAGTTAATGGACACTTTAATAATGGATGGATATGGATAGGTATGGATGACACCTGGACCCCCTGATCAGTCTTAATATCCAGAAAGGGACAACCAGACATTTTGTGTTTCGTGATGTCTTGCAGCAGGAAGTACATAACACCATTTGCCAGAAAATCAAACCTGATCTGATCCATCCCCTAGACCTAACTTCCAGTTTATAGGAAATTCAGTGACTGAGGAACATGTTAAATGACCCCACAGGAATCCACAACAAAATCTAGTTTGTGGGAAACTACCCAACAAACTCCCCAGTTTCTTTAAGAATAAATTGCCAAGGGGAAGGGGTAAAAGGGGAGAGAACCCTGTAGATGAAAAGAGATTTGGAGACGTATCAGAAACATGTAATGTGTAGCTCTTATTGAACTCTGATTTGAACATGGCAACTTTAAAAAAATTCATGAGGGGCCAGCCTGGTAGCGCAAGTGGTTAAGTGTGCACACTCTGCTCCAGCAGCCTGGGGTTCGCTGGTTCGGATCTCGGGCGCGCACCGATGCACTGCTTGTTAAGCCGTGCTGTGGCGGTGTCCCATATAAAGTGGAGGAAGATGGGCATATGATGTTAGCTCAGGGCCAGTCTTCCTCAGCAAAAAGAGGAGGATTGGCAGATGTTAGCGCAGGGCCGATCTTCCTCACAAAAAAAAAAAAACATGAGGGGCCAGCCCGGCGTCGTAGTGGTTAAGTTCGCCCCCTCCACTTTGGTGGCCCAGGGTTCGCGGGTTCGGATCCTGGGCACAGACTGATGCACCGCTTGTCCAGCCGTGCTGTGGCAGCGTCCTATATAAAGTAGAGGAAGATGGGCACAGATGTTAGCCACGGGCCAGTCTTCCTCAGCAAAAAGAGGAGGATTGGCAATAGATGTTAGCTCAGGGCTAATCTTCCTCATGCACACACAAAAAAGTAAAATAATAAAAAAATTCATGAGACAAATGGAGAAATTTGGACACAGTGGATATTTCATGATATTAAAAAATTATTAATAAGATGTGATAATGGTATTGAGATTATGTTTTTTAAAAAGAATCTTATTTTGTAGAAATAGATAGTAAAATATTTATAGATGAAATGAAATGATATCTAGGGTTTGCTTGAAAATAATCCAGAAGTGTGTAAGGCAACAAGATTGACCAAATGTTGATAATTGTTGAAGCCAGTTGATGGGACATGGAGTTGCTTTATATTAATCTTTTTACTTTTGAATAGGTTTGAGATTTTCCATAATAAAAGTCTATTTAAAGAAGCAAAAAGGTGGTAGTGGTGGTGGGGATTTTTCTAAAATAGTATTTCTCAAACTAAGTTAAAATACCTTTGGGAGTCATGATAAGATTCGGTGGAATCACAGGACATCATGAAATTATCTAGGAAAAGTAGAAGACTGGAACTCGCTGCTGGAGTTGGCTGACTAATACTAATGCTGGTGCTCAGGAGAATACAACTCCAGTCCTGAGTTCTCAGAGGAGATGAAGAACATCCTCCTGGTTTCCTGTGGCAGCACGTAGAGCTGCAGCCAGATCTGTGACCTTCTCTCTAGGGACACCTTTCAACAGTCTTTCTTTGCAGTTGCAGAAGTGCTTACCAAAAGGCTGTCTTACCCCTCCTGCCTTCCAACTAAGAACCTCTCCTGATTCTCACAACATGAGTCTGCACCTGCTCTTTCCTGGTGTACTGCTCAGTGTTCCTGGGAAAGAGTCTGATATCAAAGGAGATTGGAAGAATCTCTTTAAAACAGAAATTCTGTAGACTTACCTATGTCTTCTCCTCAGATGTTGATATTTATGGGAGGGATCTATAAGAGGCAGGTTGGGGTAGATCTAAAACATTCTCTTCTTTGTAGATATATGTTTCAACTGCTTGGTTTTCAGATTTGCAGAGGGGAAAGAATCCAGTGATATTGTCTCCTGTTAGCAGCCCCCTGAGTTTCCTTGCTGTTATTGCTGACATACACAGACATTTGTAAATTTTGCCATTCTTCTTCCTCCTCATCAAAACAGGACAGCTGGAACCACTAGAATACCACAGGAAGGAGTACTAGGCCTAGGGACACAGAGAAGAAACAAACAAACAGAATGCCTAGTACTTCTACTATATGGGTATTTATATAATCCCCATTTACTTTATGGTCACTACATATTAAATAATTTAGATAAAACATCAGTTTTTCATTTCAGGTGCGGTGTCTAAAAGACTATGGAGAATTTGAAGTTGATGATGGTACTTCAGTCCTATTAAAAAAAAATAGCCAGGTATTTCTTGTCTTAAGATACTTTAAGAGTCTTGAATGATGGAAATGTTGGAATCAGCAGAAAAATAAATATGACCTTGTAATGATCATTTATATTGTAGGCATTATGTTTAGTATGACACTGTGTTTTGTCCTTTTCATCCCAAACACCATCCTGTGGCTGAATTTCTTAAGCTTTATGGCTGACCTTCCCACCTGGTGTGCTGAGATAGTGATTCTCCAGCCTGGAGCACCTGGTGGGGCTGGGGCAGGCAGAAGCCAGCCGAGCCCCTCCTCCATCTGCTCCCTTGCTAGACAGTTGTCATTTTCTGTGTGGACCATGCAGAAGCCTTCCTCCTGAGATGCCTTTAACTTTGTCTCAATAGTGCCCTACCCTCAATTATAAAAATGGAAAACAATTTTACAAAAATATAATCTATAGCTGATATTAAGGGGCTTCTAAAATGTCTGACCACATCTAAAATCAGTTTTCTATAGACTCTATGGTGTAGACCACCTGGATCCTGTAAGACATTCATAGGGAGACATATTCTTCCCATCCCTGCTTTCGTACTTGTCAGCATGGCAAGCATGTTTCTCTGTGTCCAGAAATCAGAACCTCCTCATTAGTAGATGTTGGAATGACTGTTACATGAACAACTCCATATGTTTTTTTCCTTTTTTACATCTTACGTTCTGAGGCGTTTTAAAGATTCAGTTAACAAGTTAGACAGCAGTGCTTGACCCGTGTGTCCTTGTGACTGGTTTGGAGGAATTTGGTCAGGGGTCTCGAATGAGGCCTTGGAGTTTCTGAGGAGGGACCTTCAGGTGCCCAGTGCCCTGACGTTACATCTTGCTCCCTGAAGACTTTGGATGATGTCTCTGGCTAAGTCATTTTCTAAGGTTATTTGCTCTGTCCTTTCTAACGGACTGTTTGTAGTTTTCACCCCAGTATGTCTGTCTTGTCTTGGAGATTTCTTTGGTCACCTGTGAGCTTAGAAAGTCGTCCTGCCTTGCTTCCTGCACCTCCACACTCCAGAGTTTAGTAAATGTTCACTTCTGCTTTAAGCCCGTGTGTTTTGAGAGGGAATCAGATGAGGCCTTTCGGCCTCAGAACAAGAGCGGTGAGGACAGGTGTTAGCTGGGTCCTAGCGTCTTCACAAAGCCTTGTGAAGAGCACCCATGTCACAGCTTACAAAGATTTTTCATCCTTGAGAAATACAGGAGAAAAGTTGCCGCTGTTGTTATTAGAAGAATAAATGTTCAGACTCAAATCCTGGAGAAGATTTAATGGAGAAGACTCTCCTTTCATTTGTCTCCCTAATGAACTGTTGTACCACTTGTAATCCAGTGCCCCAGAATCTCACCTACCTGGATGTTCTGTGCATAAATTAAAAAATGCAAACACTAAGGAAAATACCTACTAGAATTCAGAAGTCTTTAGTTAAATTTAACCTAAGCAAACTATGAATTTGTTTATAAAACTAAGAATTCAGTACAGCTCTAAGTGGCATTAATTTCAGTTGATTAAAACAGCAAATATAATTAAGTTTAGCTTTTAATGACTTAGCTGTTGGAGTTTGAAATAATCAGTTGCTACTTTTTAATGGTGCAAAGTGTAATTTAAAATTCTTTTCCATCATTTCTCCTCCTCTCCCCCGACTCCTTTCCCCATAGCACTTTTTACCCAGGTGGAAATGTGAGCAGCTGATCAGACAAGGTGTTCTGGAGCATGTCCTGTCCTGACTTCACCCTGGGGCGCTGCCAGGCTTCCCTGGGGTGCAAGGTGGAACCCAGCCATGGAAACGTCTACACGTGCCTCTCCACCCTCCTCTGTCCCCACCCCTCTTTGGCTATAAAAGTTGCGTCCTTTAAGATAGTCAGGAGTACTTGGCTGAGGAGTGGGGTTTGTTTTTCTGTTGTACAGGATTCCTCCTCCTCTTTGTAATAAGCTGTACCTATAATCATAACACTCCGACAGTCACTACAACATGCAGTTTTTTTAATGAAAATGAACTTTTATTACATTTGGATCTCTTTTAAACAATGAGAGTTTCACGGGGCTGTTGTGTTGTTTCTGCTAGTGTGTGTTGTGCAAGCCAGGGAGCTGAATTTGTGGAATACGTGTTTCCAAGTCACTTGCGCGGGTGGAGATGATGGTCCCTAAAAACTTTCAGTATATTTAACGTTTAACAACGTACTAATTTGTCATCTGGCTGTTTGGGAAGGAAGATAGGAAGGACACAATGGGTTTTGCCCATTTCCAATAATGGCGGCTGGTCTGGCTCGTGCCTGCCTGCGAGCTTGTGGGGTGAGCACCAGTATCACCACTTTGGAAAGAGAAATAGAAATTGGGGCTAGAAAAGGAACTTTGTGCAGTTTTCCCCCAGGCTTACATTGACCGAAAAGTCACATAAAGAGTTGGTCGGCCAGGTGGAGGGCAGTTTCTTTGTCCGATGAGCTGTGAGTGGTGTAGGAGCTGGAGAGGCACCAAGTGGTGTTGCCTGGTGGTCAGTGGCCTTTGCCCACCAGTCCCTCCATGACCAGCCCAGTGATCTGAAAGAGGCATTCAAATGTAAGAGTCCAGATAAGCCTGGTACCGGGCGCACACTGCATGTGCAGTTTCATTTTTATAGAGGGGACTGTTTCTGGCCAAAATTATATTCAAGAAATCAGGTTATAGAAACCTTTACCTAGCATGTGGATCTGTATGTTTTCATAATAGACCTACTTAGGTCAGTCGGCTGCCCTTCGCAGATTATTTTCATTATTAAAAATAATTTCTCCCCATAGTTTTCATAGTCGGATCAGGTTTTCATCTGAATCTTTGGTGATAAACAATAAGGAAAATTTCCTGAGTGGATGGGATGGGTGAGGTTGGTATTTGACTGTGGGTCTGTAGTCACTTCCTTCCCTCGTATTCCACTCCCGGAGCATGTGGAACCACGCACACAGCGAGCCCCAGGTCCCCGCGTCAGCTAGGAGGATAGACAGCCGAGAGGACGTGGCTCTGTTGCCAGCCCAGCATCATTCCCCAACTTCGATTATACGAGGTACTTTTGTGTTTAATTCCCCAGATAAAATAAGTATGTTCTTTATTTGAAATGAATGTATACTAGTTGAATTTAAAATTTTGGAGGTTTTATTGATTTATATTGACTGGCTCTGTATTTAGAATTGTGGCTAGAATTTTAAACAAATAGCATTTTTTCTTATTATGAAGGTAATATATGTGCAGTTAAGAAAAATACAGTGTAGAAAATGAAAGTAAGTTCTCCTTCACTTACTAAATACCATCATCCAGTGTGCTCACTATTAGCTGGTTATGTACATAAAGTACAATCCCATTTCTTTTTAAGTGGTTTCCCAATTATTTTCTAGTTTTTGTTGTAATGTGAATGAAATCTTTTTTCTATTATATTTTCTAATTGGCTTCGGTTAATACATGTAAGAAAGCTGCAAATTAAGATGATGTGGCCAAATTCTAATATTTATATAAACATTTCTTTTTCACATTGATTTTGCTGTCTAGAACTTTCAGAAAAGTGTTGACTGCTGCTGGTAATAGCTGGCAGCTTATCTTTTTCCTGACTTGATTGGAATGCCGCCATCTTTCTCAACCTTTCTATCCCATACTTCTCCAGGAAAAATACCAAAACTTGTGGCCTCCCTCAGTGCAACTTGAAGCCTCAAAATAAATTCAATATTATAATTAAAAATAAACAGTGATATTAACAAATATGATTTTTCCAAGTGAGCTTTTGGAACTTGAGTGATGATCATGTGGTTTCTTACTTAGCCCCCCAGTGGAATGGATTATTTAAAGAGAATTGTGTTGTTGACCTCTCTTGCCTTCCCTGGGCTACACTCTTCTTGGCCAAGTGTGTCAACCTTTCAGTGAACTGCAAGGTTTGATTTGCTGTTTATTGGGGAATTTTGCAACTGTGAGTGATCTTGGTTTATAGAGTTTTAGAAGAGGGGAGTGTGTGCACCCACGGGTGTGTGTGTGTCTGCTTTGTCAGTGTTGTCAGTTATCTATTCTATGAAACAAACCACCCAAAACATGGTGGCTTTAAACCACCCCATTTTATTATCTCTCATGATTCTGTGGGTTGACTGGGCTCAGCTGGGTGGTTCTGCAGGTCTTGATGGAGTGTCTGATGCGGTTGCATTCAGATGCTGGCTGGCTGGCTCAGCCTCCCTCTCTCTGTGTGGGGTCTCCACGTGGTCCCTCTAGCAGGCTGGCTACACTTCTCGCCCGGCAGCTCAGGACTCCCACAGTGGTGAGAGGGTGGAAGTAGGCACTGCTGGTTTTCTGAAAGGCTAGGCCTGGTACTGGACTAGCATCACTTCTCTGCACCCCTCAGTGAGCCCAATCACAGGCTGCCCAGATTCAGCAAAGGGACCGTGTGAACCACAGGAAGGCGGGAATACTGAGCGGCCCCCACAGCCAGTATGGTGTCAGTGTTCTGGCGTCTAAAGTGAGTTGGTTGCCTGTTTTGAACAGAAATGTAACCTTTTACATAGCTTTAATACCTACAGAACCATCTGGGTCTATGTTGTTCTTTGATAAGTCTTTTTATTGTCTTCTTTAGTTTTTGGTCAAGTTGTTTACTTTTTCTTTAGTAAATTTTAGTTATTATGTTTTTCTAAATCTATTTTAATCTATATTTTGAAGTGTATTAGAAACTTTTTTTCTTTTCTCTATTAGGTCATTAGGTCTATTAGGTATCTGTTTTCTCTTTTTTGTCTTAGTCATGTAACTTTTTAAAAAATATGTGTAATGATTATTAATCTTTTAGGATGTAGAGGAGGGAGATGCAAATTTTAGATGATTTATTTCTTGATTTTCACAATTGATAGTATTTAGGATGAGTTGAATTTATTATTCTATTTTGTAACTTTATAAAAAATATATTCACATGGTAGAAAATATATATGTATAATAAGGTGTACAACAAAAACTCTTGCTTCCTCCTCTGTCCTTATCCATCCTGTTCCCATACTCATAGCTAACCACTTTTATTCATTTCATGAGTACGTTTTGAGTGTTTTTGTATAAATAAAAGAAAATATGAATATAAATTCTTGTTTCCCTCTTCCATAAAAGATACCATACTATAAAATGTTTGTGGTATTCACTGTATGGCTGTGTTATGCTCTGAATTGTGTTCCCCCTAAATTCATGTGTTGAAGCTGTAACCAGTACCTCAGAATGTGACTGTATTTGGAGAAAGGGCCTTCAAAGATGTCATTAAGATAAAATGAGGTCCTAATCCAGTATGACTGACATCTTTATAAGAAGAGGAAATTGGGACATCCTGGCTGTGAGACTTGATCACGTGAACACAGCGATAAGACGGCCATCTGCAAGCCAAGGAGGGAGGCCTCAGAAAAAAACAACCTTGCTGACAGCTTGACCCTGGAGTTCCAGCCTCCAGAACTGAGAGAAAATAAATTTCTGTTGTTTACACCACCCAGTCTGTGATCTTTTGTTATGTCAACCCTAGCAAGCTAATACAGGTTGTTAAATACTTTTTCTTAAAAATCTATTTCCCTATTGATGGACAATTGAATTGTTTCCAGCTTTTTGCTATTACAAATAAAGCTAACATGAGTGACCCTGTGCGTATATCATTTCATACATATACAGCTTCATCTATAGGATAATTATCATTTCGATGGTTCTTGCCAAAATATATAGGAATTATAATTGTACTACCACCAGAAATGAATGAGAGGGCCGGCCCCGTGGCTTAGTGGTTAAGTGCGTGTGCTCCGCTGCTGGTGGCCTGGGTTTGGATCCCGGGCGCGCACTGACGCACCGCTTCTCCGGCCATGCTGAGGCTGCGTCCCACATACAGCAACTAGAAGGCTGTGCAACTATGACATACAACTATCTACTGGGGCTTTGGGGGGGGGGTAAAAATGAATGAGAATACCTATGCCCCTCCCCACCCCAACAATCCTTGCTGTTTCCAGTTTCTGGCTATTACAAAAAAATATGCCAGGAATGTTTGTGTACAAGACTATTATGGATGTATATGTAATTTGGGGCAAATAACTAGAAGTAAAATGGCTGGGTCATACTATAGTTGTATGTTTAACTTTTTTTTTTTTGGTGAGGAAGATCAACCCCAGCTAACATCTGTTGCCAATCCTCCTCTTTTTGCTGAGGAAGATTGGCCCTGGGCTAACATCCGTGTCCATCTTCCTCTACTTCATATGGGACGCCGCCACAGCATGGCTTTACAAGCAGTGCGTTGGTGCGCTCCCGGGATCTGAACCTGTGAACCCCAGGCCTCCGAAGGAGCGCGAGCACTTAACTGCTGCACCACCAGGCTGGCCCCATATGTTTAACTTTTTTTTTTTTTTTTTAAAGATTTTATTTATTTTATTTTTTCCCCCCAAAGCCCCAGTGGATAGTTGTGTGTCGTAGCTGCACATCCTTCCAGTTGCTGCATGTGGGACTCGGCCTCAGGATGAACGGAGAAGTGGCGCCTCGATGCGCACCCGGGATCCGAACCCGGGCCGCCAGCATCGCAGCGCGCGCACCCAACCACCAAGCCACAGGGCCGGCCCTGTTTAACTTTTAAGAAACTACCAAACTGTCTTCCAAGGTGGCTGTGCCTTTTGTATTCAGACCAGCAATGTATGAGTCCCAGTTCTTCCATGTCCTCACTAACACTTGTTATGGCTAGTCTGTTTAATTTTAGCCATTCGACTAGGTGTGCAGTGCTACCTCATTGAGGTTTTTTTTTTTTTCACTTTTTCTCCCCCAAGCCCCAGTAGGTAGTTGTATGTCATAGTTGCACATCCCTCTAGTTGCTGTACGTGGGACACAGCCTCAGCATGGCCGGAGAAGCGGTGTGTCGGTGCGCGCCCGGGATCCGAACCCGGGCCACCAGTAGCGGAGCGTGAGTGCTTAACCACTAAGCTACGGGGTTGGCCCCCTCATTGAGGTT